AAAATGTAGATCATAAGCATATTTTTAACAATTTTCCAGGCAAATTTGCCTGGAAAAGCTTACAGATTAAGGGATAAGAATATGCAAACTTTGAATAACAATATAGCAAAATTTTATTAATATAACTACTTTTATATTTTAAATAAAAAATGAACCTAAGCTTATTCTAAATTGATTTATATAAAAAAAATAACTTGAAAAAATTGTTAAATTGATCCTTTTTTGCAACATCTAGCCCAAATATTCAATAAAAATAAAAGCATGACCTTATTATTAATATTAAAAAAAAAATCAACTGTTATAAATTTACATGAACATAAAGAAAATAGAAAAGTTTGATTGAGAAAAGAGTGAATACAAAAAGAAAATGCAAACAAGATAACAAAATTCCTAGAAGTTTGACTAGACAATAGACTAAAACGTTCTTGGTCAAGTCAAGAACAAAAAAGATAGTTCAAACAACAGAGAAAAGCTTTTATGCAAAGAAAATAGCTATAACACAAGTCTTACACATAAACAACATGTGTGTTAATACGATGTTTTTTGTTCTTATTACTTTTTCGTCTCTCACAAGAAATTTATTAAGCTTGTATACTTTGAATACATTTATTATATATTACAAAATATCTAAACACAAAGGCCGATGACGTATTAGATATCGATATAACAATTATTTGTGTCACAGATCAACGACACTAAGGCCTTACCTCAAAGCCACCGCATTTAGATTTTTTAGTGCAACTGTAATCGTAAAAAACCTTCCGTTTTTCTATAAATACTGTTGGCACGTACGTACCTGAAATCTATTTCAATGAACGTCATTTTTGTTAGAAAGAAAGTTATTTATATTAACAAGTCGACACTGTTTTTTTCGTCAAAACATTATTGGAAAACGACAGTTTTAACCCTTATAAATGCAAATCTAACATGTCCAACATGGATGACTTCAGGCCTCCGGAGAACCCTTATGGCCCACCTGTAGCTCCTTCTCAAAGGACTGAAGTACCTTCACAGCGAGGGTATAGGGGAGCAAGCCGTGCAAGGCAGCAGCGACAATGGAGTCGTGGAAGTGGAGGGAGCCAACAATCTGGTAATAGTAACCTGGGATACAATGGCAGTAACACTGGTAATAGTGGAAGGGGAAGAAGAGACAATAATTATTATGGTCGACGTCCGCGTGATAAAAGTAGGGAAGGGTGGGGATATAGACAGTATAATGACCGTCAAGGAAGATCTTATCGTGATGGCTCATCATATCGTGATAGTTCATCTTATAGAGATGGAAGTTCTTCTCACCGTGACCGAAGCAGAGATAGTTGGCAAGGTCAACGTCAGTATAATGACCGGTCATCACGTTCATATCGTGAAAACAGCTGTCCACCAAGACAAAACCGGTTGAATCAGCAACATGATCGACAACCGCCGTGGCATCAAGAACGTTACCACCAGTATCCACCACAGAATGGTATCGTGCAACAAAATAGTTGGGCTACTAATAACATTTCTGGGTCATCTGGTCCACACGGGCCACATTCACACCCGCATAGTGCATTGCTATCACAAGGAGTTTCACAACAGCCACATTCATCACAATCATTGCCAGGACAACTCGGACCTCCAGGTGTGCCTGGACATGGTATTCAAAGTGCTCATGGAATACCACAGGGCCCTCCCGGTCAAATAAGTCATCAAGGACAAATTAGTCAAGGGGGGCATATTAGTCACATAGGTCAGCATGAACATGACCGGCAGCAATCTTCACATTTGAGTCAACCAGGTGCGCCCGGAACACATTCGTCAATTGGCCTATATAGTGATCAAAGCAATTATCAAGAGCCTGCTCCATTTCAAGGGCAATTGCCTCCACACATTCAAACATGGGATCAACATGCGCCAAATTATCATCATCAACATGGCCATCATTATCCGACAGATAATTATTATCACCACCAAGCATACGAACATTATACAGGTCAATATCCATATATCAATGGTAACGAGTATAACCAGCCAATAGAGAATAAACATGCGATGCCACCGCATCCACCACCCCAACCTCCGAATGTGTCACATTTTGGAATGCAGCATGCGCATGCAAATACCACACATCCACCACAAATATCACAATTGCGATCACCAATATCGCCAAACCGTTCATACCAACAACCTCCTCATCCTCAACCTACTACATTACCGATCAGACAAACTCAGCAACCAGTGATTCCACCCCCTTCACAGAGTGCACAAACTGTTCCAACTGGATTAGCACAAGCGAATATTACCCCGTTACAAATTAAACCAACTGAACTATATGAAAAATTGGGCCAAGTAGGAGAAGGCACATATGGGTTCGTTTATACATTTATTCGCTGTCAATTATAGGCTGCTAGATAATATAATAAATTGTGATATTGGATTTGTTACGATCTATTGAACCCTTGTTTTTATAGCAAAGTATACAAAGCTAAAAACCGTGAAACTGGTGAGATAGTGGCACTCAAGAGAATACGCATGGAGTCAGAAAAGGAAGGGGTAAGTTTTTACTAAGGTCGGGTTGGAGTTATAGCATAGCTTTGATTAAGTAGGAACTTACCTTTCACCATTACAATTTATAAAAAGTTTCCTGTTACTGCTTTGCGTGAAATTAAGCTTCTTCAAAGACTTCGACATGATCATATAGTTCATTTAAAGGAAATAATGGTTTACCAAGGTTGGTAGAAAACATTCCAAGGGTTTAAAAGTCATTTTAGATGAAGAATTAATTTGTCGATTTGATTTTCATCGTTTAAACTATAAATCTTATCCAGGAGTAGTATACATGGTCTTTGAATATATGGATCACGATCTTACTGGAGTTCTTTCTAATCCGCAAATAATATACGAGCCACACCATGTTAAATGTCTTATGAAGCAACTGTTAGAAGGCCTGGCCCACCTTCATGAAAACCAGATTTTGCACCGTGATGTCAAAGGCATAAATAATTCCTTTATTCCATATTATTGTCTTATTAATTATACACTAATTATCATTTTGTATCATGAATATCAATTAGGATCTAATATATTATTAAACAACCGTGGAGAACTCAAATTGGCCGACTTTGGACTTGCTCGCCATTTTAAGCCTCACCGAATGCATGATTATACAAACCGTGTGATTACATTATGGTACCGCCCCCCGGAGCTTTGTTTAGGTGCTACTGAATACGGACCGGAAGTCGATCTTTGGAGTGCTGGGTAATTACCGGTATTTTTATTTTTATTCATTTTTATGCTCATTTATTTATTTTTTTAACTTTATTACAACAATTGTTTAATTGTTTTCGAATCACGGTAGATGTATAATGATGGAACTAATTACCAGGAGACCTCTTTTCCCAGGAGCTGATGAAATCTCCCAACTTGAAAAGATATTTGAATTAATGGGCGTGCCAACATGTCAGGAATGGCCATCTATAATAGACTTGCCATGGTATGTGGCACTTCAATTTCCTGAAATTTTGAAGCCCAAATTCAGAGAAATATACTCTAAGTAAGTTTGGTTATTCTACAAACAAGAACTAAATCAGTATTCAAATTAGAGGTTTTCTTATAGAATTATTTGGCTGCTTTAATTTAATGATGCATTTCAATTAAATTTTAAAATGATATATTTAATATTGATATATACATGAACCAATTTTTTAATCGAAACGCATCGTAGAAATCGCACAAATTCCATGTTCCTGTTTAACTTGCATTGAAAGAATAATAAGCTATTATGGGGTTCAAAGAAACAAAATAACGTAGTACATGATTTAATTTGCAAATATGTAGATTGTTTTTAAATCATGTTATTTAATCGTTTAGGGTTCTGTCTTCAGCAGCTCTCGAGTTGGTTGAAGCACTTTTATCGGTGAATCCTGCTAAACGACCCTCGGCCCGAGAGGCTTTGAACTTTGCTTATTTTACATCCGAAGAACCTTTAGCATGTTCTCCGGGGGAGTGAGTTGTCGTTTTTTATGAATAATGATTTATTTATTAATTCTTTAATATTGAAGGTTTCATGTTATTATATTATAATAGGCTTCCTGAAATTTGCGGGGATTGGCATGAATACGAATCGAAACAAAGAAAGAAGAAAACTAGTGGACCCAATCCTTAGGTGGGAAGCTCCCCATTTATTCTTAAAGATTTTGTTGATTAAATAATAAACGAATATAGAGGCAGGTATGTAGTTGTTTAACAACGATTGAATGGATATAAATTTACCTTGTAGTAATAAAATCATGATTAAGATAATTTAATTAAATAAGTTTAATCGTACATATTTTTGTTTAAAAACCGAATTGTCAAAAGAAAAAAAAGCCATTCAAAACAAAAAAGATCAGCTTCGTGATAATTGAACCTGTTCCATTTCCCTCTTTACATACAAGAATTTTTTTAATTGATAAGTAACCAAACTTGGAACAGGATCCTCTATCTCTCTCTTTGTATGTTCAGTCAAACGTCTACCTCTACGGCCATCTTTCTACGAACTGATTCTTGAGTTCGTGAATACCAATTTAGCAAATTGATAGCGTTTTTATAGTTGGAATCTAAGGGCCATAATAGCTTGCGACAGGTTGACACTGAAAAGTTCCAAAGTCTGCTCTGTTTTGAGTCTGACCTGAAAGAAACTGGTACTTATCGAAGACCAGTTCTCCGTCTCAGTTCAGGTTCCCATCGTTATTTCTAACGTTCAGTATAGAATAATAAATTACAATCATAATGGTATCACTTAAAGACCTTGCGTCTTATTTTAATTATTTGACATAGGTTGCCGACAGTTAGTTATAGAAATGATGACGCATGTTGCATTTGGCGGTAGAAATCCTAATTGGTCAGCATGGCATACTTTTTGAACATTTATTGACATTTAACTTTAGTTTTTTTTCAACTGTATAGAAAACACAAAGCAATATTGGGAGCTCTCATAACAAAAGGTTGATGAACTATATATTATATAGTCTCATCAATATCTTTTGCTATAGGGGCGACTATCAAGGAAAGTGTCGTCTGTAAATTGAGGAGCTCGCCAGGGCGGTCCCCAAAGTTCGGATTGATGATCTACGTCACTGCTGCAGTATAATTGCTAATATTAAAGACCTATTTATTATTTGCCAGTTGCTGATAATAAGTGAAAGTAATCTTTATTTCTTCATCTTATGTTAGTTATTGGTAAATAATTAAATCTTGACATCGGCAATTACACTGCGGAAGTGGCAAAAATCATGTGACCCGAAGTTTAGTGAGTTGTATTGGCGAACTCTCTTGTAAATTGAACAAAAAAAAGAAACAAGAGGTTGTACATAATGTTTAATTGCAGACGCAAGGTAGGATGAATATAGGGTGAATGGATTATGCGGGTGAAAAGCGATCGAGTAAATGTTAACTAGTATGACATTGTAATGATAACATCAAACCTGCAAAGTTTATCAGAACAATGTTTCGTGGGATAAGTTTATAGTGGCATGCGGTTATTGAAAAGTTGCTAAAAACTTGACTTTTGCGATATTCTTTTCGTAGTGACCGAAGAGATTCTTACGTCATGAGGTTGAAGTTACACATGAAAGCTTGAAATATAAAATATGGTAAGTATCGTATTTTTGTTACGGGGAACTTAACATTAAAAAAGGCTCAAATAAATTAAAAAATTGTCATCAATAAAATTGAATTTTATTATTTGAGTGAATTTCATTATATCAACTTGACGTAATAACCGTAGAGCGTTCCACATTGACTCAAATTTTAAAATAACCATGAAAGTTTTTACATAATTTAGATGAGTTCGCTTATTGATAATTATATATTATATCGTTATAATTTTCTTTTTTTGTACTCATGAACAAGTTTCTGCGTGTCACACAAGCCTTTAGAATGAGAAATTCAAAATTTTAATGATCCTATACGTATCGATATTTGATGTATATATATGTTAATAATTATTAATTGTAAGCATCACATGACATACAACAAATTATGTTGTGATACGATGGAAAATCATACTTTCTATCAGTGCACCCTTAAACTCATACAGGAATTTTCTCAAAATTTGGGTCGGGATACATCGAAATCTTGATCAGATAGCCGAAATTAATGAATTTTGCTAAAGTTTCTAGAACTTTACCAATGAATAAAATAAAAAATGTTTGCTAATAATTTGTTGCTATAGAATATTTTATAATCTTTTATAATATTACAAAGTCACACGACATGTCCTTATATGGAGGTATTATTGCTGTTACTTAGAAATCAAATGAGTTGATACACTAAATTTATATATAAATTTTAACAAAAAATTATTAAAATTTAATTTATTTAAAAAAATATTTATAAGCTTTTTAAAATTTTAAATATTTATTTATTATTTTATAATTTTTTGTTAAAGTTTTATTTTTTAATTACTAATAGTTTGAAGAAAATTTTTTATTAAAATTGATTTTTGTCTTTATAACCTTTGTAAAGTTAAATAATTAACTTATTTAAAGTAATTCTATAATTGGTTAAAATAACCTTTTAAGATTAAAAAAAAATTTATTAAGTTATATATATATATATTTATTTATATATATATTTTTTTGCTTTTATTAAAACTGTAGTTATTAGTGACTATTTTTTTTTTTTTTTTTTTTTAAACTTTAAGCAGTTACGCTAGTACTTTATTAAGATTCTTAAAACTAAATACATATAATTATATAGAATTTTCTAATACTTAAGTCTAGCATTACTCGGTCACCCTATTGGTACCTAAGTGCAACCTGTCGCACTATCTCAGTTAGAGATAAACTGCTTATTTAACTAGTTAAAGCCATACCAGAAAGGTCTTCCTCTTTCTGTAACAAGCATATCGATTGTCTTCAAAACTTCTTTCTTCATTCGGTTCATTTTTCCTACTTCCTTTTCTTTTTCTTCTTTCTTTGTTATCTTATTCTTTGTTCTTCTTTTCTCTGATCTTCTTTTAATTCGAGCATCCTTTTTCATCTTATTTGTTATATTAACTTCCTTTTCCCATTCTTGTACTTTCCCACATCGAACTCTCTATACTTGGTTGAAGAATGTATTCCATACTGTTCTTGTAACTATATTTATGCATTTTTGTATTGCCTGGCTATTTAAAATCTGACTGATCTGCTTTCTAACTTTATTCGTTGTTAGTCCTTTTATTAAAGCTATTCTATTAGCGATTTCTTCTGCTTCTGTTTTTCCAAATAATGTCTCATATAGTACTAAAGGCAGGATTCTATCTTTTTCATTTTCTTTAAGGCTATTCCATGCTGCTGCTGTTGCTACCTTTTGGATTCTCTTTTACAAACTTTTTTGTCCATTGCAGCTTGCTAGGTGTGCTTAAGTTTCTTTTTCACCTTCTTGACATACTTGGCAATCAGTCATTTTATATATTTCTGGTCTTCTTCTATTTAATTCTTCTAATGTTGGCAGGCCATCCATTATGCATTTAATCACTATTACTCTTCTTGTGTTGAGTTTTTTTGATGTGCAATAAATACCTTTTGTTTTATTTATCTCTTTCCAAAAGCTTAACTAATTATATTGAGTGTTCTCTGTTTTTGATTCTAGTACTTGAATTGGATTTGTTTCTTTCCAACTAGCTTCAACTCTGATATTTGTGACTATTTTGCAAAGAAGTCTTGTCAATATATCAACTTTTCTGTTTTTCTATTTTAAATGGTACTCTATTTTGTTACATTTGATCTTTTCTGTAAATATTGTCTTTTTATATATAGCTCCTTTTTTTGCAAGTATATCTGCTCTGTTACTCCACTTATTGTTACTATGACTTTTAACTTTAACTAATTCTATTCTATTGTTCTTGCTTTTAAGTAGGTCTATAATATTTATTATCTATATCACATTTTTCTTTTTCAAGATTCTGTCATCTTCTATCTCTTGAAGTATTCTGTTAATATATCTTAGTGCTGCAAGACTGTCTGTATGCATTTCTATACACCTTCCTTCTGGTATGATTAAAATTGCTAACCATATTGCTGCTAATTCTGCTGTTGTTGCTGAGGGCCAACCTTTAAGTTCTAGTATCATTTCTTCTTCTGGCCAGTTTTCTTTGTTACTAACCTGCACCTAACCAATACCCATCTTTCCTATATTGTTTTTTTCTTTCTCTTTATATAATGCTTTATCTGTATAAAGAGTATATTTGTTTTTGTTTCTCTTCTTGTTTCTTGTTAGGGCTTCTATTA